AAAGCAGCTCATGATCTATACAAAGAAACTACAGAAAAAAGGAAAGGGAATAAGTATATCTAAGAACACTCACAAGAAAACAATGCATCACAAGGAATGAAACTATAATCAATAAATGCTAAAATGCAGATAGCAGTGCTCATGGGAAAAAAAAGAGGCATCGAACTAAGAAAAGAGTCAGCTATAGGAAAAGGAAATGGGATAGGGGTATAAAGGTGCCTTTTTTCAAATAAAAAATTCCAGAATGATTTAAGGCTAAATAAATAAATACTACTGGTAAGGGTGTGCAGAAACTGGAACCCTCATACACTGCTAGAGGGAATGTAAAATGGTGCAGCTGCTGTGGAAAACATGTTGGCAGTTTTTCAAAAAGTTAAACATAAGAGTTGTCATATGACTCAGCCATTGCACTCCTAGATATATCCCCAAGAGAAATGAAAACACATAAAATTCACATAAAAACTGGTAAACAAATGTTCACCGCAGCATTATTCATAATACCAAAAAGCAGAAACAACCCAAATGTCCATCAACTGATGAATGGATAAACAAACTGTGGTATATCTATACAATGGAATATTATTCAGCCATGCTACATGATGGATGAAGCTAAAAAAACATTATGTTGAGCAAAAGAAGCCAGACACAAAAGACCACATATTGCATGACTCCATTAACATGAAATGACCAATAAGCAAATCTACAGAGAACAGAAAGTAGACTAGTGACTGCCAGGGGCTGGGAGAGGGCAAAATGGGGAAGTGACTGCTAATGGGTATGAGGTTTTTTTGGGAGGTAATGAAAATGTTCTGGAATTACACAGTGATGATGGTTGCACAACCTTGTGAATATACTAAAAACCACTGAATAGTACACTTTACAATGGTGAATTTTGTTACATGAACAAAATATTTGTTATATTTCAATTTTTTAAATGTAAAATAAAAAACAAGTTGGTTTGCAAATTGGTCATTAAAATCCAAATTGCTTTTCCTTTTACATTTGCCTGAAGATAGAGTGCTGAAATCACTGACATAAAAGGCAAAGTGAAAAGTGCATTACTAGCAACACTAAGCCAGAGTCTCAGGTTAATGTCATCTGCATTGGGATGCCTATATTGGATGGTTTGTATTACATACCTGGAAGGCTCCCCTTTCCAATTCTCAACTTAAGAAATAGTGATTAAATTTCCCAAGTTGAGTCACAAAAGTTGTTTTAAGTCTTATCTCCTTCTCCACCTGCAAAGTACACCATGGTCTAAAAGTATCAACCTTCTCTCTCCCCATTCTCTGTTCTTTTCACACAGACGATCTCAGCTAGAGAAAGAGGAAAGCAATTTATTTAACTAAATCATAAAAAATGTAAATAACTGACAGCTGTAAACATGATTACTTCTCCCTAACTTCTCCAAGTCCCTAGCCTCCAAATAAGTATTATTTGGGCAATTTAAAAAATCAAGTTTAAGGCCGGGCGCGGTGGCTCACGCCTGTAATCCTAGCACTCTGGGAGGCCGAGGCGGGAGGATTGTTTGAGCTCAGGAGTTCGAGACCAGCCTGAGCAAGAGCGAGACCCCGTCTCTACTAAAAATAGAAAGAAATTAATCAGACAACTAAAAATATATAGAAAAAATTAGCCGGGCATGGTGGCGCATGCCTGTAGTCCCAGCTACTCGGGAGGCTGAGGCAGGAGGATCGCTTGAGCCCAGGAGTGTGAGGTTGCTGTGAGTGATGATAACGCCACGGCACTCTAGCCCGGGCAACACAGTGAGACTCTGTCTCAAAAAAAAAAAAAAAAGAAATCAAGTTTAAAACATTTAAGGGATTGACAAAGGTTGCCTGCGAAGTGATATTTTAGAGCAAAAAATGACACCAAATCAACATGGTACTGGATAGTGGTATGCCCTAGACTCAACTTTCCTGAATTATTCCTGCTTTTTCCAGTATTGTACATTCTAAAATCCAATGATTCACTAGCGTACTTTTCAAATTACAAACTATGAACCATTTGCATCAGAATCACCTATGGTGCCTTGCCTACCCCAGACTTATAAAATCAAAATCTCTGGGGATAGGATCCAGGAAAGTTTATTTCCAAAGTGATTCTTATACACACTGAAGTTCGAGAATTGCTGTTCTAAAAAGTTCAACAAGATAGGATGAGCCACCACTTTACGTATAGATAATGTGTAAGATAGAGACGACATTTGTATTATGAAGACATGATGAGCATCGCAGATATCTGATGAGGCCATGAACTTTAATAGCAAAAGTAATATCCATAAAAATTCCCACTGTTCCCATAAAAGCAGAGAAGTATGAGATAAGTGACATAAATCTACATATCCAAGAAGCTCAATGAACTCAAAGCAAGATAAACACAAAGAGGTCCACACTGAGACAAATTATGATCAAACTGTTCAAAGACAAGAACAAATG